TGAGCTCAGTGTATGACCCCATTGGTTTTCTTGCACCTTTCACCCTATCTGCTAAGTTGATGTTGCAAAACCTCTGCAGTTTGAGCTTCTGTTGGGATGATCAAATCCCACATACATACCAGATGCAGTGGGTGGGGTGGCTGGATGACCTCCGAAAACTCAGTGTGTTCAGTGTGCCAAGATGTATCAAACCCAAAGATTTTGGACAAATCACCAGTGCCCGACTACATCACTTCTCAGACGCTTGTGAAAATGGTTATGGCACAGTGTCCTACCTGAGACTGCAAAATGAAAGAAATGAGACCCATCTAGCCTTCATGCTAGGAAAGGCACGAGTTGCTCCAGTAAATAAGGTTACAATCTCAAGGATGGAACTAACAGCTGCTCTGCTTGCAGTCAGAGTCGATAAGTTGCTGAGAGCAGAGCTGCAGTTAGAGCTGATAACATCAACTTTCTGGACAGATAGCACAACAGTGCTGAAATACATCAGGAACTAAACAAAGCGCTTTCACACCTTTGTAGCCAATAGGATTTCTGCCTTTAGAGAAACTACTGCTGTCTCGCAATGGAGGTATGTTGGCACAAAGCAGAACCTGGCGGATGAGGCCTCTCGAGGTGTGAAAGCTGAGTACTTTCTTGTATGCAGCAGATGGATTCATGGCCCTGACTTTCTTTTCAAAAATGAAAGAGAGTTGCCTGTGAACATCGTGGAGCCTGCTCCTATCAGTAATGATGACCCAGAGGTCAAAGGAGAGGCTACAGTGAACACCATCATTATCAAGGACAGAAGGACTGCAACAGATCAGCTGATAAGTTATTTCTCATCGTGGAAAAGGTTGAGAATCTCAGTTGCATGGTTTCTCCAGGTGAAAAAGACGTTGCAGGTATTGAGTAAGAAGCGAAAGGAAATAAAAGCTTCTGTGTCCAGCAGCAAACTTGATGAGACTCATCAGAAGAGCACAGTGGAAAAGGAGATGCAAAGATTCAGAACTACACTTGGTAACCAAACTTTGTCTACAGAGGATATTGATGCTGCAGAGCAAGCCATTGTCCAGTTCTGTCAACTCGATAGGTTTTAAGATGAAATAATTGCTCTGAAAATGGAGCATCTGGAGTCAAGAAAAGCAGTCATATTTACAAACTCGATCCAGTGTTGGAAAAAGGACTCTTGAGAGTAGGAGGGAGACTTAGCAAAGCAGCAATGCCAGATGACACAAAACACCCAGTTATTCTTGCTAAAGATCAACACATCTCCACTCTCATTTTATGCCACATTCATGAACAATTAGGGCATTGTGGAAGAAATCACCTGCTTTCCAGGCTTCAGCAAAAATACTGGATCACCAGTGCTAATGCTGCTGCCAGAAAGATTCTCTCCTCCTGTGCTGTCTGCCGACGTTATCTGGGAAAGCTGGCTGAGCAAAAGATGGCAGATCTACCTAAGGAAAGACTTCAGCCCGACCTCCCACCATTCACAAATGTAGGTGTAGACTATTTTGGCCCATTTGAGGTGAAGGTTGGCCGCAGCCTCATCATACGCTATGGGTTTATCTTCACCTGCATGGCCAGTCGTGTAGTACATTTGGAAATGGCTTACTCATTGGATACAAGTTCTTGCATCCATGCACTGCGCAGGTTCATTGCCAGAAGAGGTCAAGTGTCACACATCAGATCAGATAATGGAACCAACTTTGTGGGAGCATATCGTGAACTGAGAGAAGCTCTGTCTGCTCTGAATCACAAGAAAATTCAAAAATCACTACTTCATTCTGGAGTGAAGTGGAGTTTTAACACACCTGCTGCTTCACATCATGGCGGAGTATGGGAAAGAATCATTCGTATGGTCAGAAATGTGCTTAACTATGTACTTCGTCAGCAAAATGTGGACGATGAGGGATTGCACACTTTTCTGTGCGAAGTGGAAGCCATACTGAATGACCGTCCCATTACAAAGGTCTCCGATGATCCTAATGATCTTGAGCCCTTAATTCCCAATCATCTGCTTTTTCTGAAATGCAAGCCTGCTCTACCACCTGGGCTTTTTGAGAAAGGTGACTTGTACACTAAACGACTATGGAAGCAAGTTCAGTTCCTGGTGGATCTCTTTTGGCACAGATGGGTTCGGGAATACCTGCCACTTCTACAGGAGCGTCAGCGGTGGTTAAAGGACAAGAGGAGCTTCGTTACAGGAGATATCGTCATCGTAGCAGACTCTACTGCCCCCCGTGGATCCTGGTTGTTGGGAAAGGTGTTGCAGACCTTTCCTGACACAAATGGACTGGTGTGGTCTGTCAAGGTCCAGACCAAGTGCAGCATACTGGAGCGACCGATCACTAAGATCTGTCTTCTTCAGGAAGCTGAATGAAAGACTGACATAAATTTCCATTTTAGGGTTGTCTGTGACTATGGACACATACATGGACATTATGGACTGAGACACACACTTGCACTATGGACTCATAATTGGTGCCACATTTCATAGGGTGTAATTGTTACGCTACAGTAACAATTAGGGGCCGGGGTGTTGTGGCTAATTGTGTTGTGTGTTGTGCATGGTGTGTGTGTGTGTGTGTGTGTGTGTGTGTGTGTGTGTGTGTATGGGAGTGGGATAGGTTGTGTGAATGTCATCATCTCACCTGGTGATTGGCAGGTAAATAATCACTTGACCTATATATGGGAGTCACAGGTGATCTACTGATGGAAAATTAGTTCAGGGAAAGCCATACAGTTTTTCAACCGTGCGTGTGGGTCTGTATGTGCAATAGAGTTAATTTGTATGTTTTACACGAGCTCGGTATTTAAACGAGTACACCCGTTTTTGTAGATGGTTTTTAATCTTTGCAAAACTTAATAAAGTATTGAACGGTACGTCATGGCAGACCTCGTTTTTGGCTACACCACGCGTTGGAAATGACTTCTGATTCCCATTAGTGGCCTTTTTTGTGGTTCGATGGCCACTACAGTTTCTGTTCCTTCCCTGCTCAGAGTTGCTCTGAGAACTTTCCTAAAGCGAGGATTCCTTACTTAAAATGTTTAGGCTAAATGAGGAGCTCTCTGAGAGTCTCAGAATGTTTGTGAATACGGCCCCTGATTGGTTTCCAACTTGTGCAGCTGTCAGTCTGCTAACTGGTTCCCTGATGCTTCCAGCCTGCCGATCATCAATAAGGGTCCTCAATAAAGGACTCTCTCTGATAGTCTGCAATTCGACAGCCCGGGCTGCTGCTCTGTTTGAGAACATTGTTATATTAAACGTATGTAGCGGGTGGTTGAGGACAATAGGTGAGTGGGAACCTTATACACTTCACTCACGTAGTTATTTTACATTTAGAAACACTAGGTTTATTAGTTGTTGCCACCTTTCTATTTGTCTGGTGAAGCTTTCTTTTTTTAGATAAGAGTTCGGTTTTTGGTTTGTGTTTTGTTTTCAGAGGAAGAGGCTTGTAACACAAAACCAGTTCAAATAACCCAGGATATCTTTTTGTTATCTGGCTTGACTAATGCGTCACATTGGCCATCTGGATAACCGCTACTACAAAGCTTGGTTATCAACCAGTTCAGTCAACTCTGGGTTTTCCTGTCCTGCCGTGAGTGTGTCAATTACAAGCAACATCATCAAAACCATGAATGAAGAAGGCTGCTTCATATCATATGAGATGAAATGGTACCACAAGTGTCTGCGACTACGAGACAGTAAAATCAGTGGTGTTGGGTGTAAATAATATTCTGTAATCTTATAACAGAAATGAAGAAATATTGAAAATACTATTCAAAAAGCCACCTTAGGCCGAGTCTTAAATTACGTGACAAGTAGTTAATGACTGATGAGGTCTATCTGACCGAAATGCAACATTTATAACAACAGGAGGAAATTAACAGTGTGTGGATTCATTTTCTATTTCTTTTTCTAGTCCTCATGACACAGGTGTCTCATGTTATTTTGAGCTGCAGTGGTGGAATCAGAGTGTAAAAGTAGCAGCACTGTCACTGTGGACTAAAATAAACTTTGCATGTGTTAGAATCCCGCTAAAATCATGTGTTTAGTGTGGAAACGATCTGTGTTTGTTAGAAGCTCTGTTTTAAAACCAGTGGAAATAGAGCCTTGAAACAATGCAATGACCTTCTATTACTGCTGACCTCTAATATTACATGGCTACTGTTTTTTTTTTACCTGAGACTGATTGGTCAGAGGTCAGGGTGTTGACAGGCTGTGATCCGATACTCTGAAGTTGACCAGCTCTGGAGCAGGTTAGCTGTTCAGCATCAGTTACCACGGTGATTTATCACAGTAAAAGAACCAGCTTTGTAGCACTGAGAACCCAGAGTTAACCCTGAAGTTATCTCGCTAACTCCAAATCCTGCTTCACAGTACAGGCCTCTGGTATTCTTATACTGGTTTGTTTAGATTGTCCCATCCTCCCCCACATTAGGAAAACCTTGTGTTTAAGTTTGGAAATAAATCCCTTTTCATTTCTACACTTCAACTCTCTGTCAATCACTTGATATTTGTGTCATTGTCTTCTTTTGTTTTCTGTTTTCAAAAGGGTGACACAATACCTGTTTACCTGGCGTTTGAAGTTATGTGAAGAGTGGAAAAAAAGAGTGGTTGAGAGAGAAGTTCAAACCCATGATGCCAGGACGTCTGGAGGTTTCAGATATTGTTAGATCATCTGATAAGATGCGACTTCGTTTGAAACATAGTGACACCCTCACAAGCCCACCTTTTTCCCAGGTTTTTCTTGTGGGCACATTTACCACCTGAGTAAAACCTGTAGCTCTGTGGGAGGGAGGTTGTAGCATCTGTTATTTATCGACCTATAGTGCTCAAAAACCTCAGGAGATGGACACGCTGCAGATCACGTTCATAATTATGTTCATACTGTAGCCGCCCTTATGTCATTTTCCACTGCAACAGCCTCATCTGTGTTCTGCAGACAGACTTGCCTTTGCAGGCACACCAAAGAGTTCGAAGTTATTGAGATAACATCAGTGGCTGAGTTTACCTCTCTTTGCAGGTTTTTCCTTGTGCACACACTCAGCTCCACGTTGACCCTCCAGCAAACTCCCCTCGCACACTTCCCATTTGATGACCGTCTCCAAGTCTGAGGGTTCCTCTTTAACCAGGGAGGTGATGCATCCAGCTGCTCCTCCACCCTCCCATGAAGGTTTCTCAGGCTGGGCATGTTGGTGGGGAAAAGCCTCCGCTGTGTCATGGCACTTGGGGGAAATTTGTGTGGGTGTTGCCGCACCTACACCTGATGATGACGAGATAAATGAATAGAGAAATGAGTGGGTAGACTTCCTGTGCACGCCAACCTGCCGCTCTCCAGGGGCGAAGCGTCGCCTCTGTTATCCCTCAACACATTTTTCAGTTCAATTCAAAGACACTTTATTGGTGCTGCCAAAGCACAATGAACAACAACTGGAACAAACAGGAAAAAGTACAGTTTTTAAAATGCAAACGATGAAACATTATATTAACATTACATTGCAAAAGCAACAACCATGTCAATAATAATATGTAACGCAAGCTGAAACTTGCTGAAACTTACTGAAACTTAGCGAGTGTGTGTTGGTGCATGTGTAACATTTACATGCTGCTAAATGGATTGCTCTGACAATAAAGGATCTGTCTATTCAAAGTCCTACTGACTGTCCCAGAACAAAACATGGTGAAGCAGCGTTTTGTTATCAAGCTGCACAAACCTGGAGTAACCTCACAGATGATGTCAGACAGCCCCGACTCTGAGCATGTTTAAGTCAAAGCCAAAAACATTCCTTCTTTACACTGCCTGCTCTACCCTGTGATGACTGCGAAGAAACGAAGAACGAACAGGTTTAATGCGCACCATCCAATTTCATCCAACAAAACCTCCTGTTCCTTCTTGTGTATGAAATGTGCTGTACAGATAAAGCTGCCTTGCCTTAACATTCATTCTGTGAGTGAGGGGACTTTTAAAAATCTTTTGATCACTGTCAAAGGTTACTGGAAAATCTGTTGAACCTAATGCTGTGATTGCATGGTTTGGTGTATGTCCACCCACAGTCCCTCTCTCTTCCCGTGAAGAAACCGTTACAGCCTTTGTTACCTTATTAGCCAGACGTCTGGTCAAGTGGAAGTCCCCAACACCTGCTTCACACACTCTGTGGATAAGGGAAGTCCTTAATTTTGTCGAAGTAGAAAGAATCAGGTGCATAACGAGGGGCTCCTTGAGGAAATTCTGCATGACATGGGATCCCTTTTTTGTGTATGTACAATCTAACTATATAATGATGAAAACTCTGTGTGTCTGTTCCACGTTTTTCTCCTCACTGACTTGGTCAATCCATGTGAAATTTGGCACAGTGGTAGAGGTAAAGAGCATGGATACCAAGAGGCGAAGCTCAACAGAACGGCCCATAGCAACAGACTCGCCCATGGTTTTGTCCTACCGCCGCCATTTTGGACCGTCAGCAGACTGCAGCAGACCCGCTTGCATACAAAAACACACAGACAAACTCAAGTATATCGCTATTAATTATGCTTACAATGCTACTCACCTCGTGGTAGCTTGGTCACAGCTGCTTTTTCACATATTTGTAAAGCAAAATATAGACTTTAAAAAAAAACAAAACAAAGAAAAACGGCCTAGATGGCATCTCTACATATTACATCCACTTATGAGAAGATTAACTTAATTACTCCTTCAAAATCACCCCATAAGCCAATCTACCAAAAAAAAAAAAA